TCAGCTGTAGCTGGGAAAGTGGATGAAGAGGGAAAGTTGAGTCCCAGGACTCCTGATGCAGCTGCCACTTTGTTTTATTTTGTTTGTTTGTTTGTCTGCTTTTTGAGACAGAGTCTTACTCTGTTGCCCAGGCTGGAGTGCAGTGGCTCATTCTTGGCTCACTGCAACCTCCGCCTCCTGGGTTCAAGCAATTCTCCTGCCTCAACCACCTGAGTAGTTGGGATTACAGGCGCGTGCGCCACCACACCCAGCTAATTTTTTTATTTTTTTATTTTTTTATTTATTTTTAGTAGAGACGGGGTTTCACCATGTTGGTCAGGCTGGTGTCAAACTCCTGACCTCGTGATACACCTGCCTCAGCCTCCCAAAGTGTTGGGATTACAGGCATGAGCCACCATGCCCGGCTGCAGCTGCCATTTTGTATGGATAGAGTATCTTAAATCAGGTGTCTAAATTTCAGTGAACACATGAAATTCAATATGTGGACTAATCCACCTCCTCTAGATTTTATCTAATTATTTTTATATCAAGGGACATGTGTAAACATACATACTCTTATGTTTTTGTTGTTTTTTTTTTTTAGGCTGGCTGAAGGTCTTCTTTTTCGTTGAAGTCATAGGATTATTCCCTGAAACGAATTATTTGATATTGTCATCAAGATTGACCTAAGCCAGATAGCATTTACACATCTATTACATCCAAACAGTTTCTCTCCAGTATGAATTATCTGGGGTACAGTAAGGCATGAACTATAATTGCAGGATTTCCAATATTTATGATACTCACAGGTTTTCTCCCCAGAGGTAATTATTTGATGTGGACTAAGATTTGAGCTCTGCTTAAAGGTTTACCACGTTCAATAAACTATGGGATTTGTCTCCTCAGTAAATTCAGCGATGTAGAATAAGATAAGGACTCTGAGGAAAAGCTTTCCTGCAGTCATTACATTCAAAGGATTCTCTTCTAACATGAAGTCTCCAGTAAGGCTAAATTATAGCTAAATATTTCCCCACACTCCTTAGTTTTTTTTTTTTTTTGAGATGAAGTTTTGCTCTTGTCACCCAGGCTGGAGTGCAATGGCGCCATCTCAGCTCACTGCAACCTTTACCTCCCAGGTTCAAGCAATTCTCCTGCTTCGGCCTCCCAAGTAGCTGGGAGTAGTTTCACCATGTTGGCCAGGCTGGTCTCGAACCCCTGACCTCAGGCGATCCACTCACCTCAGCTTCCTGAAGTGCTGGGATTACAGGCATGAGCCACTGTGCTCGGCCGACACTCCTTACTTTGACAGGGTTTTTTTCTCAATGTGAATCTGGTGATGTTTAATAAGACCTAAGCTATAGCTGAAGGTTGTTCCACATTCAATGTGCTTACAGGGTTTTCCACCCAAATGAATTATCTGATGTTGAACAAGTTGAGATCACCACTGAAAATATTTTCCAGCCAGGGGTGGTGGTTCTTGCCTGTAATCCCAGTACTCTGGGAGGCCGAGGCAGGAGGATTACTTGAGTCCAGAATTTCCAGACCAGCCTGGACCACATAGGGAAACCCTGTCTCTATAAAAACTAAAACAATTAGCCAGGCATGGTGGCATGCACCTGTAGTCCCAGCTACTCGGGAGTCTGTGGTGGGAGGATTGCGTGAACCTGGGAGGTCGAGGCTGCAGTGAGCCACACTCATGCCACTTTACTCCAGCCTAGGCAACAGAGCGAAACTCTGTCTCAAAAAAAATTCCCACATTTATTACATTCATAAGGTTTCTTTCTACTATGAATTCAACAATATCTAATGAGCTCGAACTTCCCTTTGAAAGGGCTCTCACATCTACTATATTTATATAATTCTTCTACGATATGAATTCTCTGATTTTAGTGTTATGGACTGAACATATGTGTCCCCAAAAAGTCATACGATGAAGACCCAACTCCCAGTGTGGCTGTATTTGGAACAATTAATTGGAAGTAATTAAGGTTAAATGAAGTCATGGCCAGGAGTGGTGGCTCACGCCTGTAAGAACACTTTGGGAGGCTGAGGCGGGCGGATCACAAGGTCAGGAGTTAGAGATCAACCTGGTCAACATGATGAAACCACATCTCTACTAAAAATACAAAAGTTAGCTGGGCATGGTGGCAGGCACTGTAGTCCCAGCTACTCGGGGGGCTGATGTAGGAGAATTGCTTGAACCCGGGAGGCGGAAGGTTACAGTGAGCTGAGATCATGCCACTGCACTCCAGCCTGGTGACAGAGCGAGACTCCTGTCAAAAAAAAAAGAAGTCATAAATTTGAGGCCCTGGCCAGAGGCAGTGGCTCAGACCCCTGTAATCCCAGCACTTTGAGAGGTCAAGACAGGAGGATGGCTTGAGCCATGGAACTTGAGATCAGTCTTGGCAACATAGTAAGATGCCATCTCTACAAAAAGTTAAAAAAACAGCTGGACATGGTGGTACTGCTTGACTGTGGTCCCAGCTACTCAGGAAGCTGAGGTGGGAGGATCCCTTGAGCCCAGAAGGTTGAGGCTACAGTGTCGTGATCACTGGGCTAATGCACTCCAGCCTGGGTGACAGGGTGAGACCCTGTCTTCAAAAGAAGAAGGAAGGAAGGAGGGAAGAAAGGAGGGAGGGAGGGAAGAAGGAAGGAAGGAAAGAAGGGAGGGAGGGGAAAAAGAGACAGCTACACCAGAGAGCTCTCTTATCCTCTCCCTTTCTTTCTCCCTTTCCCCAGCATTCCCCTAACCCCACCCCCTTACCTCCTCCAAACCTGCACACTTGCATGAAGGAAAGGCCATGTGAGGACATAGCGAGAAGGCAGCCATCTGCAAGCCAAGCAGGGCCTTGCCCAGAAACCAAATTGGCTGGAACCTTGATATTGGACTTCTAGCCTCCACAACTGTGAGAAAATAAATGTCTGTGGTTTAAGCCGCCCAGTCTATGGTATTTCATTATGGCAGCCTGAACAAACTGATACATATGGTGTTAATTTTGTTTGCCACGTGTCACGTTTTCACCTAGCTCGCTGGTAAAGATTTCTTTTTTAATGATACAACTTTGTTGGGGGGCAGGGTGGGAGGTAAGAGTACTTGTTCATTGTTAAGGAGTGCAAATTGGTGCAAATTACAGGGTGAGCAAATCTTCCCAAATGTAATAGTCATGCACCCTTTGAGCAATTCCACTTCTGCAAATGCATTCTACAGATACACTTAATTGTCTGTAAATTTTTTTTTTTTTTTTTTTTGAGACGGAGTTTCGCTCTTGTTACCCAGGCTGGAGTGCAATGGCACGATCTCGGCTCACCGCAACCTCCGCCTCCTGGGTTCAGGCAATTCTCCTGCCTCAGCCTCCTGAGCAGCTGGGACTACAGGCACGCGCCACCATGCCCAGCTAATTTTTTGTATTTTTAGTAGAGACGGGGTTTCACCATGTTGAATTGTCTGTAAATTTACATGTGTACAAAGTTATTTGGTGCAACATTGTTCATAATACCAAATAGTTTGAAATACTTTAAATGTATCCAGAGGGAAGTGTTTTAACTAAGACACATCCATAAAATGGATTAACAGCCAGGGCGGCTCATGCCTGTGATCCCCAGGCTGAGGCAGGTGGATCCCCTGAGTCCAGGAGTTTGAAACCAGCCAGGGCAACATGGTGAAACCCTGTTTCCACACAAACAAAAATACAAGCATTAGCCGGGCGTGGTGGTGCTTGCCTGTAGTCCCAGCTACTAAGGAGGCTGAGGTGGGAGGATCACTTGAGCCCAGGAGGCAGAGGTTGCAGTGAGCCAAGATCATGCCATTGCACTACAGCCTGGGCAACAGAGCAAGACCCTGTCTAAAAAAAAAAAAAAAAAAAAAGTGGTTCCTGAGGACACTATGGCTTCCAAAGTGGGAACTAACAGGGCAGGACAGCCTGTGTCCTCAACAACAGACACGGAAACTTGTGCTGGAGGAAGGAATATTGGGCCATCACAAGATACATCAATGCGGGGAATGGCAGGACTGAACAAAGGATAAAGCAGTGATGATCATTTACAACAAAGAAGTTCTCAGTGTGGGCAGCCTGTGGATTCAGCACTCTGAACTATCCCTGACCTGCCTTTTGGGGCTGCGGCCCTCCTTACCATATGCACCTGCTGCTTTGCCCTTCGGCCATTTCTGGTCTTCTTGTGTTTCTTTCCCACTTCTACTCTTATTTCTCTATTCCTCTCAACCTTTTCTTCTTCCTAGAAGGTTTGTTGTCTTTTTTTTTTTACTTCTTTTATTAAACTGGTGAAGTTCTATGCTGAAAATCATAGAAGGTTTAGAGTTCCCTAAGGGACAAAAAGATTGCTTACCCTGCTAGACTTAGTAGCCTCAAATGAAACTTGAATCCACTAGAGGAGCCTAGTAAAAATCTGTCAAACTATTTTAAGATCTCTCCAGTCCTCCACAGAAAATCTCATTACTTGTTTATCAGAACAGGAACAAAATAAATGCCCTTAAAAGGTGACAAGCAACAGCATGAGGAGGACCATGCTTGTCCCGGCAGCCTCCTCTAGTCCCACCCTTGCCCCACACCAGAACAGAGGGTAATTTCAGTGCCTGTGCCTGGGAAGACACCCAAAATGGGTGTCTGTCGTTTGTTCCCTCTTTGAAAGAACGCAGGCCTTGTTGAGAAGGCTCACTTTCCCTGCAGGCCTCTGTCTGGTGCCAGATGTAGGCTCTGTGAAAAGAAGCACAGCTACAATCAGGAGCCTTAAAATAGTCAAAGTTTCTATAACAGAAATTATTAGTGGTGTAGGGGAGGAAAAACAGGCAAAGGATTAGCT